TTAAGTTGCTTGACTGGCTTCAGTTCTACTCTGGAGATCTGGAATAGTGATCGTTTCTCTTAAAATGTATGTATTAAATAATGAACAATTTTCATTACTACGTTAACCACCATTCAGGATTTCGATGATGATGAAGAAGTGGACGAGTCAGCCATAAAGGAAGAGAATGAATGCTCTAAGCAAGGAACCGAAGACAAAAGTGATAAGCGGGCGCCTCGAGGATGCAAACCAGAGGATTACGAAGAAGAGGAAGAGGAGGAAGAGAGGACGCGTACGGTCGTCTACTTCTGGCAAGGCCGGCTAACTTCAGATATAGCTTGGTTACAGTTTAACTTTTCTGTTCGTAAGGATATGTCTGCACGTCTCTCACGCAATCCAGTTGATCCTGGTCGGCCCCTAAAGGTTGAGTTCAAGCATGTGCACCAACAGCAAGAAGATTTGGTGTTTCTAGCTCATTTCCGACAGCAGTTTGTAATCCACTTGGGTCACTACAAGGATCGCTACTCTGATACACTCACCAATTCGGTCCAAATGTATCATCTGCGCGCCAACGGCAACCCGATCGCCTCCCGATGTATTGAAGTACGCCATTTTATTACAATTCTTTCACTATAATCTTTTTGTAATGAGATGTATCGTCAGGAAGACGAATTAATTATTCGTACAAATGCGCATTAGTAAATGTATAATTAATTCAGAGATTATTTTAAGCCAATGCTTATTACTTGTTGGAATAATCCAAATTCCTTGAAGTGAACCCATTGAGGTGCAGGAGTTTCTTGTACCTGATTGATTCTCCTTATTTATTATTGAACAATTTTAGGCATTATGGTTGAAGGTATGAGAGAATCTCAATTTCAGTTGAAGCTAAAACTGCTTAGTGATTTTTGTTCATGGTATCGTGAGGTCTAGATTTCATTAGAATCCCAAGCATGCCACTTTTCGTAATAGAGATACATCAACATTATTTAAATAATGCTAATGAGTTTATTCACCATTAAAACTATGCCCTATCATTATATCTCTTTCACATATATGAGCCTAGACACTGCATGATATACGCCCTCTCTGGATTGATAAATACTAGGGATGCATGGAATATTATTAGCAGCTTCTTCCCTGACCTCTTGGTTTTTTCAAGAATACTATGGCTATTGGCTTAACGATTCACTGATATTTTTCATCAATCATTTTTTATCAGTTTATTTTAACACATAAACATACAATTTTTGCTCAATTTAAAAAGCTTGGGGCTTATTCATTGACGCTGGCCTATACGTGCCATCAAAGG